TGATCTAGACTATAAAGGATCGTTTGATCATGATGTCACTACTGTCAGGATATCACACACAGGCTGTCACTGTACATGTGTTGTTAATTGACCTTCCCGGTTAAATAACTAAAGGTACAAAACAGAGTGACGACTGAACATGTAATGGACAAGATGAATATATGGTCTGGGACTCATTAGCTCAACTCAATGGCATGTGAATGTCTGGAAGGACATAAGATAGAACATATGAAAAACATACAGCAACCACTGACATCCCCTCAGGTGCAACAGAGATGGTGTGAGGTTTCTAGAGTTTGGAGCGGTTCAGAGAAATGGTGTGAAGTTTCTAGAGTTTGGAGAGGATCAGAGAAATGCTGTGAAGTTTCTAGAGGTTGGAGCGGCTCAGAGAAATGGTGTGAAGTTTCTAGAGGTTGGAGCGGCTCAGAGAAACGGTGTGAAGTTTCTAGAGGTTGGAGAGGATCAGAGAAATGGTGTGAAGTTTCTAGAGGTTGGAGCGGTTCAGAGAAATGGTGTGAAGTTTGTAGAGGTTGGAGAGGATCAGAGAAATGGTGTGAAGTTTCTAGAGGTTGGAGAGGATCAGAGAAATGGTGTAAAGTTTCTAGAGGTTGGAAAAGATCAGAGAAATGGTGTGAAGTTTCTAGAGGTTGGAGAGGATCAGAGAAATGGTGTGAAGTTTCTAGAGGTTGGAGAGGATCAGAGAAATGGTGTGAAGTTTCTAGCGGTTGGAGAGGATCAGAGAAATGGTGTGAAGTTTCTAGCGGTTGGAGAGGATCAGAGAAATGGTGTGAAGTTTCTAGAGGTTGGAGAAGATCAGAAAAATGGTGTGAAGTTTCTAGAGGTTGGAGAGGATCAGAGAAATGGTGTGAAGTTTCTAGAGGTTGGAAAAGATCAGAGAAATTGTGTGAAGTTTCTAGAGGTTGGAGAGGATCAGAGAAATGGTGTGAAGTTTCTAGCGGTTGGAGAGGATCAGAGAAATGGTGTGAAGTTTCTAGAGGTTGGAGAGGATCAGAGAAATGGTGTGAAGTTTCTAGAGGTTTGGAGAGGATCAGAGAAATGGTGTGAAGTTTTCTAGCGGTTGGAGAGGATCAGAGAAATGGTGTGAAGTTTCTAGCGGTTGGAGAGGATCAGAGAAATGGTGTGAAGTTTCTAGAGGTTGGAGAGGATCAGAGAAATGGTGTGAAGTTTCTAGCGGTTGGAGAGGTTCAGAGAAATGGTGTGAAGTTTCTAGAGGTTGGAGAGGATCAGAGAAATGGTGTGAAGTTTCTAGCGGTTGGAGAGGATCAGAGAAATGGTGTGAAGTTTCTAGAGGTTGGAGCGGCTCAGAGAAATGGTGTGAAGTTCTAGCGGTTGGAGAGGCTCAGAGAAATGGTGTGAAGTTTCTAGCGGTTGGAGAGGATCAGAGAAATGGTGTGAAGTTTCTAGAGGTTGGAGAGGATCAGAGAAATGGTGTGAAGTTTCTAGAGGTTGGAGAGGATCAGAGAAATGGTGTGAAGTTTCTAGAGGTTGGAGAGGATCAGAGAAAATGGTGTGAAGTTTCTAGCGGTTGGAGAGGATCAGAGAAATGGTGTGAAGTTTTCTAGAGGTTGGAGAGGATCAGAGAAATGGTGTGAAGTTTCTAGAGGTTGGAGAGGATCAGAGAAATGGTGTGAAGTTTCTAGAGGTTGGAGAGGATCAGAGAAATGGTGTGAAGTTTCTAGAGGTTGGAGAGGATCAGAGAATGGTGTGAAGTTTCTAGCGGTTGGAGAGGATCAGAGAAATGGTGTGAAGTTTCTAGAGGTTGGAGAGGATCAGAGAAATGGTGTGAAGTTTCTAGCGTTTGGAGTGGCTCAGAGAAATGGTGTGAAGTTTCTAGAGGTTGGAGAGGATCAGAGAAATGGTGTGAAGTTTCTAGCGGTTGGAGAGGATCAGAGAAATGGTGTGACGTTTCTAGAGGTTGGAGAGGATCAGAGAAATGGTGTGAAGTTTCTAGCGGTTGGAGAGGATCAGAGAAATGGTGTGAAGTTTCTAGAGGTTGGAGCGGCTCAGAGAAAGGTGTGAAGTTTCTAGCGGTTGGAGAGGATCCAGAGAAATGGTGTGAGTTTCTAGCGGTGGTTGGAGAGGATCAGAGAAATGGTGTGAAGTTCTAGCGGTTGGAGAGGATCAGAGAAATGGGTGTGAAGTTTTCTAGAGGTTGGAGCGGCTCAGAGAAATGGTGTGAAGTTCTAGCGGTTGGAGAGGATCAGAGAAATGGTGTGAATTTTCTCTAGCGGTTGGAGAGGATCAGAGAAATGGTGTGAAGTTTCTAGAGGTTGGAGAGGATCAGAGAAATGGTGTGAGGTTTCTAGAGGTTGGAGAGGATCAGAGAAATGGTGTGAAGTTTCTAGCGGTTGGAGAGGATCAGAGAAATGGTGTGAAGTTTCTAGAGGTTGGAGCGGCTCAGAGAAATGGTGTGAAGTTTCTAGCGGTTGGAGAGGATCAGAGAAATGGTGTGAAGTTTCTAGCGGTTGGAGAGGGTCAGAGAAATGGTGTGAAGTTTCTAGAGGTTGGAGAGGATCAGAGAAATGGTGTGAAGTTTCTAGAGGTTGGAGAGGATCAGAGAAATGGTGTGAAGTTTCTAGCGGTTGGAGAGGATCAGAGAAATGGTGTGAAGTTTCTAGCGGTTGGAGAGGATCAGAGAAATGGTGTGAAGTTTCTAGAGGTTGGAGCGGCTCAGAGAAATGGTGTGAAGTTTCTAGAGGTTGGAGAGGGTCAGAGAAATGGTGTGAAGTTTCTAGCGGTTGGAGAGGATCAGAGAAATGGTGTGAAGTTTCTAGAGGTTGGAGAGGATCAGAGAAATGGTGTGACGTTTCTAGCGGTTGGAGAGGATCAGAGAAATGGTGTGAAGTTTCTAGAGGTTGGAGCGGCTCAGAGAAATGGTGTGAAGTTTCTAGAGGTTGGAGAGGATCAGAGAAATGGTGTGAAGTTTCTAGCGGTTGGAGAGGATCAGAGAAATGGTGTGAAGTTTCTAGAGGTTGGAGTGGCTCAGAGAAATGGTGTGAAGTTTCTAGAGGTTGGAGAGGATCAGAGAAATGGTGTGAAGTTTCTAGCGGTTGGAGAGGATCAGAGAAATGGTGTGACGTTTCTAGAGGTTGGAGAGGATCAGAGAAATGGTGTGAAGTTTCTAGCGGTTGGAGAGGATCAGAGAAATGGTGTGAAGTTTCGAGAGGTTGGAGCGGCTCAGAGAAATGGTGTGAAGTTTCTAGCGGTTGGAGAGGATCAGAGAAATGGTGTGAAGTTTCTAGCGGTTGGAGAGGATCAGAGAAATGGTGTGAAGTTTCTAGCGGTTGGAGAGGATCAGAGAAATGGTGTGAAGTTTCTAGAGGTTGGAGCGGCTCAGAGAAATGGTGTGAAGTTTTCTAGCGGTTGGAGAGGATCAGAGAAATGGTGTGAAGTTTCTAGCGGTTGGAGAGGATCAGAGAAATGGTGTGAAGTTTCTAGAGGTTGGAGAGGATCAGAGAAATGGTGTGAAGTTTCTAGAGGTTGGAGAGGATCAGAGAAATGGTGTGAAGTTTTCTAGCGGTTGGAGAGGATCAGAGAAATGGTGTGAAGTTTTCTAGAGGTTGGAGCGGCTCAGAGAAATGGTGTGAAGTTTCTAGCGGTTGGAGAGGATCAGAGAAATGGTGTGAAGTTTCTAGCGGTTGGAGAGGGTCAGAGAAATGGTGTGAAGTTTCTAGAGGTTGGAGAGGATCAGAGAAATGGTGTGAAGTTTCTAGAGGTTGGAGAGGATCAGAGAAATGGTGTGAAGTTTCTAGCGGTTGGAGAGATCAGAGAAATGGTGTGAAGTTTCTAGCGGTTGGAGAGGATCAGAGAAATGGTGTGAAGTTTCTAGAGGTTGGAGCGGCTCAGAGAAATGGTGTGAAGTTTCTAGAGGTTGGAGAGGGTCAGAGAAATGGTGTGAAGTTTCTAGCGGTTGGAGAGGATCAGAGAAATGGTGTGAAGTTTCTAGAGGTTGGAGAGGATCAGAGAAATGGTGTGACGTTTCTAGCGGTTGGAGAGGATCAGAGAAATGGTGTGAAGTTTCTAGAGGTTGGAGCGGCTCAGAGAAATGGTGTGAAGTTTCTAGCGGTTGGAGAGGATCAGAGAAATGGTGTGAAGTTTCTAGCGGTTGGAGAGGATCAGAGAAATGGTGTGACGTTTCTAGAGGTTGGAGAGGATCAGAGAAATGGTGTGAAGTTTCTAGAGGTTGGAGAGGATCAGAGAAATGGTGTGAAGTTTCTAGCGGTTGGAGAGGATCAGAGAAATGGTGTGAAGTTTCTAGAGGTTGGAAAAGATCAGAGAAATTGTGTGAAGTTTCTAGAGGTTGGAGAGGATCAGAGAAATGGTGTGAAGTTTCTAGCGGTTGGAGAGGATCAGAGAAATGGTGTGAAGTTTCTAGAGGTTGGAGAGGATCAGAGAAAATGGTGTGAAGTTTCTAGAGGTTGGAGAGATCAGAGAAATGGTGTGAAGTTTCTAGCGGTTGAGAGGATCAGAGAAATGGTGTGAAGTTTCTAGCGGTTGGAGAGGTTCAGAGAAATGGTGTGAAGTTTCTAGAGGTTGGAGAGGATCAGAGAAATGGTGTGAAGTTTCTAGCGGTTGGAGAGGATCAGAGAAATGGTGTGACGTTTCTAGAGGTTGGAGCGGCTCAGAGAAATGGTGTGAAGTTTCTAGCGGTTGGAGAGGCTCAGAGAAATGGTGTGAAGTTTCTAGCGGTTGGAGAGGATCAGAGAAATGGTGTGAAGTTTCTAGAGGTTGGAGAGGATCAGAGAAATGGTGTGAAGTTTCTAGAGGTTGGAGAGGATCAGAGAAATGGTGTGAAGTTTCTAGCGGTTGGAGAGGATCAGAGAAATGGTGTGAAGTTTCTAGAGGTTGGAGAGGATCAGAGAAATGGTGTGAAGTTTCTAGAGGTTGGAGAGGGTCAGAGAAATGGTGTGAAGTTTCTAGCGGTTGGAGAGGATCAGAGAAATGGTGTGAAGTTTCTAGAGGTTGGAGAGGATCAGAGAAATGGTGTGACGTTTCTAGCGGTTGGAGAGGATCAGAGAAATGGTGTGAAGTTTCTAGAGGTTGGAGCGGCTCAGAGAAATGGTGTGAAGTTTCTAGCGGTTGGAGAGGATCAGAGAAATGGTGTGAAGTTTCTAGCGGTTGGAGAGGATCAGAGAAATGGTGTGAAGTTTCTAGAGGTTGGAGAGGATCAGAGAAATGGTGTGAAGTTTCTAGAGGTTGGAGAGGATCAGAGAAATGGTGTGAAGTTTCTAGAGGTTGGAGAGGATCAGAGAAATGGTGTGAAGTTTCTAGCGGTTGGAGAGGATCAGAGAAATGGTGTGAAGTTTCTAGAGGTTGGAGAGGATCAGAGAAATGGTGTGAAGTTTCTAGAGGTTGGAGAGGATCAGAGAAATGGTGTGAAGTTTCTAGAGGTTGGAGAGGATCAGAGAAATGGTGTGAAGTTTCTAGAGGTTGGAGAGGATCAGAGAAATGGTGTGAAGTTTCTAGAGGTTGGAGAGGATCAGAGAAATGGGTGTGAGGTTTCTAGCGGTTGGAGAGGATCAGAGAAATGGTGTGAAGTTTCTAGTGGTTGGAGAGGTTCAGAGAAATGGTGTGAAGTTTCTAGAGGTTGGAGAGGATCAGAGAAATGGTGTGAAGTTTCTAGAGGTTGGAGAGGATCAGAGAAATGGTGTGAAGTTTCTAGCGGTTGGAGAGGATCAGAGAAATGGTGTGAAGTTTCTAGAGGTTGGAGAGGATCAGAGAAATGGTGTGAAGTTTCTAGAGGTTGGAGAGGATCAGAGAAATGGTGTGAAGTTTCTAGCGGTTGGAGAGGATCAGAGTGTGTGGACATTCCAGTGAAACACTGTGCTCTCATCCCAAATGGCACCCAGTGTCATAACATGTTACGACACGGTCATAACCATGTCATAATATGTCATAACAGCTGACATAACTTGTCATAACCTGTCATAATATGGTAATAACACTGTCATGACACATATATATAGACCTGTTGTGACATATATTGTGTTATTTTATGGCTGGTTATGACACCTACATAACAGTGTCAAAACCCACAAACGCTACCACACAAAGCAAAACATGCCATTACACCATAGCCTACTTGTGTCAACAATATGTTTATGTAATATACACTACCGGTCAAAGGTTTGGACACACCTACTAATTCAAGGGTTTTTCTTTATTTTGACTATTTTCTACATTGTAGAATAACAGTGAAGACATCAAAACTATGAAATAACACATATGGAATCATGTAGTAACCAAAAAGTGTTAAACAAATTATTTTTTGATTTTTTTGATTCTTCAAGTAGCCACCCTTTGCCTTGATGAGAGCTTTGCACACTCTTGGCATTCTCTCAACCAGCTTCACCTTGAATGCTTTTCCAACAGTCTTGAAGGAGTTCCCGCATATGCTGAGCACTTGTTGGCTGCTTTTCCTTCACTCTGCGGTCCGACTCATCCCAAACCATCTCAACTTGGTTGAGGTCAGGGGATTGTGGAGGCCAGGTCATCTGATGCAGCACTCCATCACTCTCCTTCTTGGTAAAATAGCCCTTACACAGCCTGGAGATGTGTTGGGTCATTGTCCTGTTGAAAAACAAATGATAGTCCCACTAAGCCCAAACCAGATGCAATAGAGTATCGCTGCAGAATGCTGTGATAGCCATGCTGGTTAAGTGTGACTTGAATTCGAAATAAATCACAGACAGTGTCAACAGAAAAGCACCCCCACACCATAACACCTCCTCCTCCTCCATGCTTTACGGTGGGAAATACACATGCGGAGATAATCCGTTTACCCACACCGCGTCTCACAAAGACACGGCAGTTGGAACCAAAAATCTCAAATTTGGACTCCAGACCAAAGGACAGATATCCACCGGTCTAATGTCCATTGCTCGTGTTTCTTGGCCCAAGCAGGTCTCTTCTTCTTATTGGTGTCCTTTAGTAGTGGTTTATTTGCAGCAATTCGACCATGAAGGCCTGATTCACACAGTCTCCTCTGAACAGTTGATGTTGAGATATGTCTGTTACTTGAACTCTGTGAAGCATTTATTTGGGCTGCAATTTCTGAGGCTGGTAACTCTAATTAACTTATCCTCTGCAGTAGAGGTAACTCTGGGTCTTCCATTCCTGTGGCGGTCCTCATGAGAGCCAGTTTCATCATAGCGCTTGATGGTTTTTGCGACTGCACTTTAAGAAACTTTCATAGTTCTTGAAGTTTTCCGGATTGACTGACCTTCATGTCTTAAAGTAATGATGGACTGTTGCTTCTCTTTGCTTATTTGAGCTGTTCTTGCCATAATATGGACTTGGTCTTTTACCAAATAGGGCTATCTTCTGTATACCACCCCAACCTTGTCACAACACAACTGATTGGCTCAAATGCATTAAGAAGGAAAGAAATTTCACAAATGAACTTTTAAGAAGGCACACCTGTTAATTCAAATGCATTCCAGGTGACTACCTCATGAAGCTGGTTGAGAGAATGCCAAGAGTGTGCAAAGCTGTCATCAAGGCAAAGGGTGGCTATTTGAAGAATCTCAAATATAAAATATATTTTGATTTGTTTAACACTTTTTTGGTTACTACATGATTCCATATGTGTTATTTCATAGTTTTGATGTCTTCACTATTATTCTACAATGTAGAATAATAGTAAAAATAAAGAAAAACCCTGGAATGAGTAGGTGTGTCCAAACTTTTGACTGGTGCTGTACGTCAACAGGTGTAAATATATGGGTTATGACCATATTATGACAGGTTATGACAAGTTACGTCAGCTGATATGACATATTATGAGATGGTTATAACCTGTCATAACATGTTATGACGCTGGGTGTCAAGTAAAGTGTTACCTGGCATGCTAATAGAGGGTGCCATTTGGGAATCTGCCTATGAAATCCAGTGTGCCACAGCACCATTACACACCATTGCATACCTTGTCAATTGTTTTTTTATTTTTATTTTATTTAACCTTTATTTAACCAGGTAAGCCAGTTGAGAACAAGTTCTCATTTACAACTGCGACCTGGCCAAGATAAAGCAAAGCAGTGTGATAAAAACAACAACACAGAGTTACATATGGGATAAACAAAACGTACAGTCAATAACACAATAGAAAATATATATACAGTGTGTGCAAATGTAGCAAGTTATGGAGGTAAGGCAATACATAGGCCATAGTGCAAAATAATTACAATTAGTATTAACACTGGAATGATAGATGTGCAAGAGATGATGTGCAAATAGAGATACTGGGGTGCAAATGAGCAAAATAAATAACAATGTAAATAACAATATGGGGATGAGGTAGTTGGGTGGGCTAATTTCAGATGGGCTGTGTACAGGTGCAGTGATCAGTAAGGTGCTCTGACAACTGATGCTTAAAGTTAGTGAAGGAGATAAGAGTCTCCAGCTTCAGAGATTTTTGCAGTTCGTTCCAGTCATTTGCAGCAGAGAACTGGAAGGAATGGCGGCCAAAGGAGGTGTTGGCTTTGGGGATGACCAGTGAGATATACCTGCTGGAGCGCAGACTACGGGTGGGTGTTGCTATGGTCACCAATGAGCTAAGATAAGGCGGGGATTTGCCTAGCAGTGATTTATAGATGGCCTGGAGCCAGTGGGTTTGGCGACGAATATGTAGTGAGGACCAGCCAACAAGAGCGTACAGGTCACAGTGGTGGGTAGTATATGGGGCTTTGGTGACAAAATGGATGACACTGTGATAGACTACAACCAATTTGCTGAGTAGAGTGTTGGAGGCTATTTTGTAAATGACTTCGCAGAAGTCAAGGATCGGTAGGATAGTCAGTTTTACGAGGGCATGTTTGGCAGCATGAGTGAAGGAAGCTTTGTTGCGAAATAGGAAGCCGATTCTAGATTTAACTTTGGATTGGAGATGCTTAATGTGAGTCTGGAAGGAGAGCTTACAGTCTAACCAGACACCTAGGTATTTGTAGTTGTCCACATACTCTAGGTCAGACCCATCGAGAGTAGTGATTCTAGTCCGGTGGGCGGGTGCCAGCAGCGTTCGATTGAAGAGCATGCATTTAGTTTTACTAGTGTTTAAGAGCAGTTGGAGGCTACTGAAGGAGTGTTGTATGGCATTGAAGCTCGTTTGGAGGTTTGTTAACACAGTGTCCAATGAAGGGCCAGATGTATACAAAATGGTGTCGTCTGCGTAGAGGTGGATCTGAGAGTCACCAGCAGCAAGAGCGACATCATTGATATACACGGAGAAAAGAGTCGGCCCAAGAATTGAACCCTGTGGCACCCCCATAGAGACTGCCATAGGTCCAGACAACAGGCCCTCTGATTTGACACATTGAACTCTACCTGAGAAGTAGTTGGTGAACCAGGCGAGGCAGTCATTTGAGAAACCAAGGCTATTTAGTCTGCCAATAAGAATGCGGTGGTTGACAGAGTCGAAAGCCTTGGCCAGGTCGATGAAGACGGCTGCACAGTACTGTCTATTATCGATCGTGGTTATAATATAATTTAGGACCTTGAGCGTGGCTGAGGTGCACCCATGACCAGCTCGGAAACCGGATTGCATAGCGGAGAAGGTACGGTGGGATTTGAAATGGTCGGTGATCTATTTGTTAACTTGGCTTTCAAAAACTTTCGAAAGGCAGGGCAGGATGGATATAGGTCTGTAACAGTTTGGATCTAGAGTGTCACCCCCTTTGAAGAGGGGGATGACCGCAGCAGCTTTCCAATCTCTGGGGATCTCAGACGTTACGAAAGAGAGGTTGAACAGGCTAGTAATAGGGGTTGCGACAATATAAATATTAATGAGAGAGCAGAGTAGGATGAGAACAGAGTAGGATGAGAACAGAGTAGGATGAGAACAGAGTAGGATGAGAACAGAGTAGGATGAGAACAGAGTAGGAAGAGAACAGAGTAGGATGAGAACAGAGTAGGATGTGAACAGAGTAGGATGAGAACAGAGTAGGAAGAGAACAGAGCAGAACAGAGTAGGATGAGAACAGGAATATAACTCTCAACTATCCAGTTGGTCTATATTATATGAAGAAAAACAAAGGCAACTGGCCAAATCTCAGACACCATAACTAAGCATTCGCCTATTATAGGCTTGTAAATGTTCAAAGGTTCTTGACAGTGTGCTTGCTACTAGAGGTGAATGGTGGAGGGGACAGCCAGCCAGCCAGCCAGCCAGCACTATAGTCAAGTGGGTCCAATTGTGCTGTCGGCTCTTCACTGGATTAAACATTGTTCTGGTGCCAAGATGCTGTTGATCAGGTTAAAGCTTTGCTGACACTTCCGTTGTGAACAGAAACCGTCTTAACAAGCTGTAGACTTCCTCTGTGGCTCAGTTGGTAGAGCATGGTGCTGTCTGAGACTCTAGGAAATTAAACGGGTTATTGGGGGATGCAAGGCCATTCAGAAACCCTAGCCTGCCTACCCTGTGGGGACCATTAACACTGGGGACAGAAAATAAACGATTAACCATTTCTCACTAAAACGATTCAAAGCAGAGAGCTCTATGGTCATCATGCTGTATCTGTTTATGCAGGACTCTCAACTACTCTGTCCATTCGTTTGGACATCAAAGTCAATCATTTTGAATTGAGGATTGGCAATTTGCTGGATATATATATATATATGGTGGTAGGTTTTTTTGAGTGAGTCTCACTTGTTCCCTAGGCACAGATACAGCTGTTGATGAGGACATGATCAGGGTGCAGCATGCTGTGATGGAAGGCTGACCATATCTTTAGCTCCAATGTGACACACACTGTAGAACACTGCTGTATCATACCAGCTATAGATTCTATTATTTTCTTGACAATGACAGGTAGTGCAAAATATACTTTGTGTGGACCACAAAACCCCAAACAATGCATGCAGAGCAGAATTAGGACTATACCCGCTAGTTATCAAAATCCAGAAAAGAGCTGTTCAATTCTACAACCACCTAAAGGAAGAGACGCCCACACATTCCACCACAAAGCCATCACCTACAGATAGATTAACCTAGTGGAGTACCCTCAGCCAGCTGGTTCTGGGGCTCTGTTCACAAACACAAACAGACCCCACAGAGCCCCAGGACAGCAACACAATTAGACCCAACCAAATTATGAGAAAGCAAAAAGATAACTATTTGACACACTGGAAAGAATCAACCAAAAAACAGAGCAAATTGGAATGCTATCTGGCCCTAAACCGAGAGTACACATCGGCAGAATACCTGACCACTGTGACTGATCCAAAATTAAGACAATCCTTGACTATGTACAGACTCAGTGAGCATAGCCTTGCTATTGAGAAAGGCCGCCGTAGGCAGACCTGGCTCTCAAGAGAAGACAGGCTATGAGCACATTGCCCACAAAATGAGGTGGAAACTGAGCTGCACTTCCTAACCTCCTGCCAAATGTATGACCATATTAGAGACACATATGTCCCTCAGATTACACAGACCCACAAAGAACTTGAAAACAAATATTGATAAACTCCCTTATCTACTGGGTGAAATACCACAGTGTGCCATCACAGCAGCAAGATTTGTGACCTGTTGCATTGAGAAAAGGGCAACCAGTGAAGAACAAACACCATTGTAAATACAACCCATATTTCTGTTTTAGAGAGAGAGAGAGAGAGAGAGGATTGAAGGTAGAGAGGAGATAGGGAGAAGGGAGGGGATAGAGAGTGCAGGTTAAGGAGAGAGTTGGAAAGGGGGAGAGAGTGAGAGTAGATGGATGAGGATGATCGATGATATAGATGAGATGCGATAGTATGAGTATGCGTGGTTTGCTGATCTTACGTGCTTATAGTTTCCTCTTTCTGGCTAGCGAGAGAAAAGGGGGAGATGAGATAAACGATTCGCGCCGCCCGCCGCCTCTTTCCCCCGCCGCCGCGCTCCCGCCGCTAGCCCGCCGCGCCCGGCATGAGAGTAATCGCAAAATGGTATCTTCCCCGTGCATCTTTTCCGGGCCCCCTGGCCCTTTGGTTCCTGGACTCCTCCCTTTCTTCGTCTCCCCGCCCCCTCCCTCTTATCACCAACCCGCCCCCCGGCGAGTGAATTCCTGACCTACGATTTCCTCCTCCAGCCCCGCCGTCTCTCCGCCTCTTCTCCCGCCCGCCTCCCTCACTCCTGCCTCCTTTCCCCCCCTCCCCTCCCCTTCCCCTCCCCTCTCCTCCTCCCCCGCCCCCGGCGGTGGCCTCCTGCCCCCTTCTCACACGCCCGCCCGGGACGGGTACGACTCCTGACACTTCACATTCCCCACAGCCCCCCAGCCAGACATACTTGCCCCACTATTATCCAAGCCCAGGACCTTAGTACGACCCCCTACACTACATTAATCAACAGCCACCCAGCCCGAGTGGACACTCCTGACACCCACATTAATTTACACACCAGCCCACGAAAAGAGACGACTCCTGACACTACATTAAATCACACAGTCCAGCCCAGACGAGGTGAGACGACTCCTGACACTACATTAAATCACACACCCCAGCCCAGCCGAGACGAGGTGAGACGACTCCTGACACTACATTAAATCACACAGCCACGGACGAGGTGAGAAAGACTCCTGACCACTACATTAAATCACACCCCGCCCAGCCCGAGAAAGAGTGAGACGACTCCTGACACTACATTAAATCACACAGCCCAGCCCAGACAAGGTGAGACGACTCCTGACACTACATTAAATCACACAGCCCAGCCGAGACGAGTGAGACGACTCCTGACACTACATTAAATCACACAGCCCAGCCCAGACGAGGACGACTCCTGACACTACATTAAATCACACACCCAGCCGAACGGCAAAGACTGACACTCCATTAAATAACACACAGAGCCCACCCCAGACGAGGGAGACGACTCCTCACTACATTAATCACACAGCCCACCGGGAAGACGAGGTGAGACAAACTCCTAAACCCTACATTAAATCACACAGCCCAGCCGAGACGAGGTGAGACGACTCCTGACACTACATTAAATCACCCCAGCCCAGCCGAGACGAGGTGAGACGACTCCTGACACTACATTAAATCACACAGCCCAGCCGAGACGAGGTGAGACGACTCCTGACACTACATTAAATCACACACCCCCCCAGCGAGGAACGACTCCTGACCTACATTAATAACACCAGCCACGAGACGAGGAGAACTCCTCCACTACATTAAAATACACACCCAGCCGAGACAGGGGAAAACCCCCGACACACAAAAATACAGCCCGCCAGCCCTTTAACACCCGCCACTATACACAGGGAGCGACCGACACCTTTACCCGCCACGACGGACAAGCCCCCAAACCGCACCTACTTCCCCCAGCCCGGGCCACACTGAGCCTTCTCCCCACACTTAAACACAGCAGCCGCCCAATAGCGCGGAGCAGCCCTTTTTAATTGGCCGGGGACCGAAGCCAGAACCCCGGGTTAGCTCCTCCACTTACATTTAACCGCACAACCTTGGGCCCCCAGAAACCAAAAGTTCCCGTCAGAGTTTCCTTGGAAAACCCGGGTTTTAAGGAGAGACCAGAAAGCCTGCCAATTTTTAACTCAACTGGGTTCAGAGAACCAGAAACCCCCCTTTCAGGGGGAAACCGGAAATTCCCTTCAAGAGAACCGAAATTCCCTTCAGAGACGGAGACCTGGCCCTCAGAGAACTCAAAATTCCCTGTCAGGGGGAACCGAAATGGCCTTCAAGGGGGAAATTCCCCGGGAGAAGGGGGGTTAGAAGAGGCAGGAGCAAGTTCCCTGAGAAAGGGAAAAATTTTTCCTGGTTACAATCTTTAAATCTGCCGCCTTTCCGTGTACTCTTTTAAGAAAGGCCTTGCCACCCCGGGGTTGGTGGTTTCGCTCCATCCAAGTGTTGTCCCAATGAAAGTGTTGGTAAATTCTGCTAATGGGGGAAAATTTTCTGCTATTGTAATTTATTGTGATTGTCCCATTTATTTTTGAGGGACCATTATTCAGAGACTAGTTTTCCTAAAGGGCTTCAACTTAAAAATTTCTTCTCCACCTTCTCCAACATACTAATGGTGTAATTTTTTTAACCTTTTTTTAAAAAATTTACACGCATCAACCCCAAATAACCATTACTGTTACCTTGTAAGCTGAGGCAAAGGGTCGTAAAAGGTATTCCCCTTTTGCTCCCTCCTGCTGCTCTCCTCCCGGGGCCCCCCCAAGGGCGCCGAACACCTGGAAATAGAGAGAGAGAGAAAAGAGCGAGAGAGAAGGGGGAGAGAGAGAATCAGAACACTGTGACTCATATATGCTCCCCAACAGAGAAAGAGGGTGTCTCATCCATCCACCCCCCCCTCACCTGTGGACCCAATCACCTCGCTCAGACAGGAAGCTCCCAGCATGCACTAGGCCAGGGGTAGGCAGAAAGGCCAGTCAGTCCATGACGGGACTGGGGGAAACGTTGATATACCCGTTGATCGTTGGGGGATAGGTGGCTTGACAGCCCTTGATCTTTGGTACGCCACTTGACATACCCTTTTGGTGGACTCTCGTTGACATTCACAGTGCAATACAAGTAGCATTGGTCTCCTGACAGCCCGCTGGACGATACCTCTTGCATGGGTTTGTACACGCCAGCTGAGATATCCTGGTGGACGGGATGGATGACAGCACTTGACATTCCATTGTTTGGATGGGTTGGGTGAAGCCACTCTCATGATCCCTAGTACGATGGGGTGGGTGAATCATTGACAATCCTCCCTTAGTGGGAGGGTGACAGTCAGTTACATTCTCTGTTTGGCATGTTGGAGGACAGCAGTGAAATCCTCTGTTGGATGTTGACAGCAGTTGACAACCGTTGGATGGGTGGTGCAGCCCGCTCTGACCATAGTACCGGGGATTGGGTGGGTTGGACAGCCATCTGACAATCCTCTGTTAGATGGGATGGGGTGACAGCCAGTCTTGATCTCCCTGTGATGGTGGGTGACAGCGAGATTGCACATATCTCTGTTACTAGTAAGGGGAGCAGCAGGCTTGATCATATCCTCTGTTCATAGGAGGTGGGTGAAGCCGCTCTGACAATCCTCTGATCTCATGTTCAGGGTGACAGGCATGGATCATAATCTCTTTCATGGGTTAGGGGACAGCCAGCTTGACATACCCCCTTGGGTGGTCGAGTACAGCACCTTGAATACCCTATGTTGGATGTGACATCCAGTTGACATAGCCCCTTGAGACAGGGTTTTGACAGCCAGCTTGCATATACCTCTGTTATGGGAATTCAAGTGAAATCACACATGAAAATAACCTCATGAGAATGGGTTAGGCACAACAGAAATTACTGAAAAATCCTCATAAGAGGTTGGGCTGAACAGATACTTAATTAAAATATCCTCAATAAAGGCAGAGGTTCGGTGAACAGCAGTTTACCATATCGTCTGGATGCGGACTTTGGTTACCAGCCCAACGGGTTTGGCAACTCTGTTTGTGGTTACCGAAGTTAGGACAGGAGCTTGACATAGCCAATTTGTATAGGTATGGGTGACTACGGCTTTAATGAGACCAGCTTCAATCCTTGTTGGATGGGTTGGTGACAGCCACAGCTTGACCATATCCTCTGTTGGATGGGTTGGGTGACAGCCAGCTTGACATATCCTCTGTTGGATGGGTTGGGTGACAGCCAGCTTGACATATCCTCTGTTGGATGGGTTGGGGGATAGCCAGCTTGACATATCCTCTGTTGGATGGGTTGGGGGATAGCCAGCTTGACATATCCTCTGTTGGATGGGTTGGGTGACAGCCAGCTTGACATACCCTCTGTTGGATGGGTTGGGTGACAGCCAGCTTGACATACCCTCTCTGTCGCACCATACCCATTCTGGGGACTACTGCCCTTCTCATTACATTCAAGTCAATTACAGAGAAACACATCTCTGATCTCCCATAGTACAGGAGGACGAGGGATGGATCATCACATCTCTGATCTCCCATAGTACAGGAGGACGAGGGATGGATCATCACATCTCTGATCTCCCATAGTACAGGAGGAAGAGGGATGGATCATCACATCTCTGATCTCCCATAGTACAGGAGGACGAGGGATGGATCATCACATCTCTGATCTCCCATAGTACAGGAGGAAGAGGGATGGATCATCACATCTCTGATCTCCCATAGTACAGGAGGAAGAGGGATGGATCATCACATCTCTGATCTCCCATAGTACAGGAGGAAGAGGGATGGATCATCACATCTCTGATCTCCCATAGTACAGGAGGAAGAGGGATGGATCATCACATCTCTGATCTCCCATAGTACAGGAGGACGAGGGATGGATCATCACATCTCTGATCTCCCATAGTACAGGAGGACGAGGGATGGATCATCACATCTCTGATCTCCCATAGTACAAGAGGACGAGGGATGGATCATCACATCTCTGATCTCCCATAGTACAGGAGGAAGAGGGATGGATCATCACATCTCTGATCTCCCATAGTACAGGAGGACGAGGGATGGATCATCACATCTCTGATCTCCCATAGTACAGGAGGACGAGGGATGGATCATCACATCTCTGATCTCCCATAGTACCTATTTCCTATTTCTAATTGACCTTCATTTAAACAGGGAGGCACCATTGAGACCAGGGTCTCTTTCACTAGGGAGTCCTGCATATACAATTCATCAGACAAAATCAAATCAAAATCAAAACAAGATACAATGAAAATCAAACAAAAATACAGCAGCACAACAGAATATTACAGAAAAACATTCCTCAATAAGAAGGTCCCCAATCAATACTTTAAATTAAAACATTCCTCAATAACAAGGTCCCCAAGAAGGTCCCCAACTAAAAGAGGATTTACCTTGTTCGGTGGAGACCCGAGGAACCTCAAGAGTTAACCAACCCTGTGAACGGGTTTGGCAACTCATGTTTTTGTACTTCAACAACGAAGTTAGGTAAGTTGGAAGCTTGTGTAGTAGAACTTTGTATACAAAAAAGGAATAGTGAAGTGATCTACGGGACTTTAATGAGGACCAGCCAACCTTTTCATACAGGATGCAGTGGTGAGTATCAATCAAATCAAATCAAATTTTATTTGCCACATGCGCCGAAAACAACAGGTGTAGACATTACCATGAAATGCTTACTTACAGCCCTTAACCAACAATGCATTTATTTTTTAATAAAAAAGTAAAATAAAACAACAGCAACAAAAAAGTGTGGAGAAAAAAGAGCAGAAGTAAAATAAAATAACAGTAGGGAGGCTATATATACAGGGGGGTACCGGTGCAGAGTCAATGTGCGGGGGCATCGGCTAGTTGAGGTAGTTGAGGTAGTTGAGGTAATATGTACATGTTGGTAGAGTTAAAGTGACTATGCATAAATAATTAACAGAGTAGCAGCAGCGTAAAAAGATGGGGTGGGGGTGGGGGGGGGGCAGTGCAAATAGTCTGGGTAGCCATGATTAGTTGTTCAGGAGTCTTATGGCTTGGGGGTAGAAGCTGTTGAGAAGCCTTTTGGACCTAGACTTGGCGCTGCG